AGCTAGCTGCAGCTAGCCATCGATACCCCCAGCTAGCCACCGGGACAGCTAGGGGCCTCAAGGCTCCGGGTGTATATACAGCTGGTGCTGCAGAGCAGCAGCAACTCCTTAGAAAGAAAAAACACAAACCCTAAACCCTAAACCCTAAACCCTAGATATACAGCAGAAGCAAAGTAAACAAAACAAGAAATAAAACAAACAAAACAAAACAAAACAAAAAAAACAAAGGAAACAAAAACCCTAAACCTAAACAGCGTAAACCCCAAACCCTAAACCCTAGAGGAAGACCCCTCTAACAACCCATCCCCCCAAACCCTAAACCCTAGACCCTAGACCCTGGATCCTAACGCCACAAACAACCTGAAACCCTAAACCCTAAACCCTCAAGACAGAGATCTTCTAAACAGCCTCTAAACCCTAAACCCTAAAACCTAAACCTAAACATCTCTCAACCTAAACCCTCAGCAAAGAGATACATCCTCCAGGGTTCAACTCAACAGGGGGCCCCCCCACTAACCCTAAAAACACTAGAACTCTATAGAGGGGGGCCCCCCTGCAATGTTGTTTGGGTGGGTGGGGGGCCCCCCTTAAGGCTCCCCGCTGCAGCAGCAGCAGCCGCATGCAGCCCCAACAAAGAGGGGCCCCCGCTTATTGTTGTTTGTAGCAGAACGAGAAATAAAAACTCAAATATATCATTCTGTTCAGACACAGGGGGGGGCCCCCTGCTCCGGGGCCCCCCACTCGAGGGGGGCCCCCAAGGAGGGGCCCCCCCAAGCAGAGGGCCCCCAAGGAGAGGGCCCCCAGAACGAAGCCACATGCAGGGGCCCCCGAACGGCAGCCCCAGAAGGCCCCCAGTAGTGGGCACCTGGGGGGGGGCCCCTGCGGGGGGGCCCCTTGTTGGGGGGCCCTGGTGGGGGGCCCCTGGTGGGGGGCCCCTGGTGGGGGGCCCCTGATGGGGGGCCCCTACCAAATCAACTAAAAGGGCCCCCCTAAGAGGGGCCCCTGTTGGGGGCCCCTCTCCTAGGGCCTCCCCTAAACCCTAAACCCCCCTAACAGGGGGTTTTAGGGTTTAGGGTTTAGGGTTTATGGCGTAGGGTTTAGGGATTCGAGGGGCCCCCAGGAGGGGGCCCCCTAAACCCTAAACCCTAAACCCTAAACCCTAAACCCTAGAAAGTGTTAGTATGTTTTGAAGGTGAGTATTTCTTCTTGGTCTATGCCGAGGTAAACGTCACTGCATAAGAAGAGAGACAAAGAGAATATCTCGTCTTTCTCCTCAGGCGCAGAAAACCTAAAAAAAAAAAAAAAAAAAAAAAAAAA